AATGGGCCCTAATGAGTGTGGGACTGCAGTGGGATGCTGGAACAGGTAGGAATGTGGCATCAGGTCAAGGCGGGTGCAAGTGGGGGCCCAGATTGCCCTGCCAGCCACCCCCCCAGATTGGCCCTGATCACAGGTCAGGCCTAAGGACCCTACCTGTGTACAAATTTCATGCATCGGACCTCTAGTATACACATTAAAAAGTGCACATAAAAAAACATTTTGCTAATATTCTCTAGATGCTAAGTATAGGTAGTTCTTTATATTTCACTCTCCAATATTTAGGCAGTGTATTATTCGTCAGTTTTATATTTTCAGAAAAACCTTATTCAATTTTCAGTTAAGATGGTAGAAGACCATACCTTCACATTTGTCACAAATCACATTCTTTTGTAGAGCTAGTTTTCTCGTTGCACCATTATATAAGTCTTCTAAAGTTACGGAGAGCTGATGTACAACATTTTTACCTAGAACAAAATAATGCTCATTAAAATCTAAGATGTACGTACCATCTTGTTTGTGTTCAATGTACCATCAAAATAATAATAAAAGATAAAGCTCACAAGGTACTTTTGTTAAGTACCTATTATATACATAGAATGTTGGTCATAATACCCACACATAACCCTCAAACTATAATTAATTTCAGATAAGAAAAGTTGGGTGAGATTAAGTAATTTGCCTAAGAATGTGGTTGTGGCTATCTTACAAATTAGGCAATCAAAAACATGAACTGCAAATCAGTTGAGAACCAATGCCATTTATAAAGGCACATTTCATAATAATTATTTCAAACTGCATTTCTGTCCCAATATATTCTTTGAATCTTTCACTTAAGATGATATTGAGCAACGTGGCCTATTAATTCATCCAAAAATTCTTCAGCACACTAAGTTCCAAGTTCCAACCAATCAAGATTTGGCTGGGGAAGCGGATGCATTTATTCAATCTCCACAGAATATCAATTCCAACTTATACATTTACTGCTTGACTAGCACTTTATCATATCCTTTATCATAGTGCTGTCCAAAAGAACTTGCTGCAGTTACAGGAATGTTTTATATTCATGCTATCTCACACGGTAGCCACTGGTCACATGTGGCTATTGCAGATGAAAAACTTAATTTTTGTATTTTTTAAATGGATCTAAATTTATTGTGGCCAGTGGCTACAAAGAAGTACCATAACTCATTTCAGAATAGGAAGCGGAAAATAGAGATCATATGAGGACCCTGAGTCTACAGAAATGAAGTCACCTGTCAATGGTTAATATGTTCCCAGGTAATAATTCTTTCCAAGGACTTTTCCACCACAAAACAGTATTGCCTTATGCCCAAGTGAAAACAAGTTCTCAAAACTCTTATCTGCACAATATGCTTGTTGTGAACATTTTTAGTTTCCAATGAATTAAGAAGCACCATTAACTACGGTATATCCCTCTGCTCCTAGCTTCATCTTTGGGTTCTAGGTCACAAATATAGCCCCATACAGTTGGTTCCAGCACGTTGAAAGCTGCCTTTCTTACTTTAGCTTTAAAGTTTTGAGAGTATAAAGGGGGAAAAGCTTATTAAACTTGATTATGCAAGTATTTTTTAGTGTCCCACACACAGACCTTTCAGTGATCTAAATCACATAGAAGAGTTTGCCAGTCAATTCATCATTAAAAAGATAATTATAAAAACATATCCCTTTCTTTCAGGGAAAAATAAGTAAACAATTTCTAGTCTTTCTGAATTTTAAAAAGCTCACAGTGAAAATTTAATGGCTTCCCTATTCCTTCTAAAATGGACTCTACCCATTGGCCTTTATTTATATAAACTATACTGGGAACGAACGAGATTGACTCTGACCCGAACACTGTTTTCCTATGAAGAATATTTCTACAGCCAGCCAGGAAATGGCATTTCTGATAAATGTTAAGGGCATATATCAGGAAATAATAAAGCTGAAGCAAAATTAAACAGATAGCAGGCTATTTCTAAGTGAAGAATCTATGTTCCAATCCTAACTACTGATGCCTTGCTGTATGTATAACTTGGTGGGAAGTTTAGGTTTCTTAACTTTAGTGCACAGTTTATGTTCAGTCTCTTCCTCCCTCCCTTTCCCCGAGAACAGTCAGTCCACTCCCCTCCCATATCACCAACTCTACTACAATGAACCGCTATTATTGTTCATCAGGTTTTTCAATCTTCTTTTGTTGTTGTTTTTTTAATTAATAAACTTTTACACTTCTAAGAATAAATTTTAAAATCTAATAATTTTAAACCTTGTTTTTTTTTCTGCCCAGGGAATTGAGAGCAAACTTGTTTACATGTAAACTTGCCCTTAGGCTACCAAGAGGTGTAGCCATTCAAGTGTAAACGTACACATTGTTTAAACATAGCTGTTGGTTGGAATTGGATTACCTGTTCTGGGTGGGAAGGGCTTGTCATTCCCTTTCTCCATTAAGGAGTTAGCTTTAAAACCTCTTTTTGGCAAGAGACCTTAAACTTTCAGAACTTTAAATTTTTCAGATAGTAAATCAGTTATTTAGCATTTTCTCAAATCAATAATACCTCCACATGCCCAAGGATACACTTCACACAAAAGACATTTCCAAATAGATCAACCAACCTCATCCAGGCCCCACACAAGGCACTCACAGATCAACACCCCAGCGCTATACTAACTAAACACATCCAGATCTAAGCCTTCCTCATTTGAATCAGCAGACCCTCAAGTTCCCCCAAAAGTTTCCAGCCATGTCTGAGAGGCAGCCTTGGGGCGGAGGCAGGCGGGTTTCTTAACTTTAACTCACTTTCAACTGAGTACCTCCCACTAGATTGGGGGTGTCAAATAGTATCTTAAAAAGGACTTTGAAAGTTATGTTCTTATACTTTCTTTGTTCCTTTAATTAATGCTTGACAATTTTATTAAAGTTTGTGTCCCACTGTCCAAGAGCTTTAGAAGCATTCACTTGTTAGCACTTGGTCTAGATAATTTTAGTTACATCAAATCTTATTTTAAAAAACTATACCACAAATAAAAATGGCAGTGCAGTTTGCAAAATTATAACATGTAAACCAACATTTAAAATAGATGAATTCTCAAGAATTTGCTTCGACCAAGGGGCTACCGTGAATTGCTGCATATAGACTGGATTATTCTTACCTCTCCTTTCTCTCTGCATCCTTCCTCCTCCTCCAAAAAACATATCAAAGATGTCCATGGGGGAACCAAAACCGCCACCTGCTCCACCTTCCTTAATTGCTTGTTCTCCTCCTTTGTCATACAATTCCCTTTTCTTTGCATCAGAGAGCACTTCGTAAGCTTGAGAAATCTGTTTAAACTGTTTGAGAAAAGAATAAATCTCACTTTAAAGAAGTATTACGAAGCATAGCTACTATACCGGACATACTCAATTTCAGGTTATGGAACTACCATACACCTGGCCAAAAAAACTACTCAGGCTACGTTTGAGCACGAATATACAACTTGCCTTCTCTCCTTCATTTGGATTCTTATCAGGGTGGTACTTCAAGGCCAGCTTCCTATAAGCCTTTTTCAGTTCTTCCTGGGTGGCATTGGGCTTGACCCCCAAAACATCATAGTAAGTAGTTTCTTTCACCATTTTTGACAGCCTGAAATTTAAACAAAAACCAAAACAATTTTAACCGACTTTCCGTTGGTACTTGTAATTCGTTAAATCATACCTAGGATATGGCCGAGAAATCTGTTTTTTGCCAAATCTGACTATAAAAACCCTACCTATACCTTAAACGTCAGAGAAGGTAACAATTCCTTTGATAATTCAACAAATTCTTAACAGATCAAACATAAGCTAATAATTATCAAGGAATAATTCAAAGCTTCCTGTAGCAGCTGCTTCCCATTCTCCCACACCAAAGCCTCCCCACATGGGGCTTCTTCCTGCTTCCCGGCCCCGGCAGTGACGGAAGGAATCAGAAGGGGCACGAACAGGTCCAGTCCACCGGCTATTCCATTCCCACCGTCTCGGGTAAATATGACAAGACACACACACTCCCTGGGGGGTGGGGGGGGGGGGGGGAGAAATACACTTGGGTACAAAGGGACAGGGAGCGGTTTATGAAACGATTCCTGGCAATCCTATGTTTCTCGGTTTCAGGACCCACAGCGCCTCCGCGCAGCCCGCCGAGCCCCTCGCTGCCACCAGCTCAGCGTCGCGAAAACGTCGTTCGGTGTGTCCCCCGGCACTAGGCGCGGAGGCACTAGGCGCGGATCGTTGAGGTTTCCTTCCTTTTTTCCTCCCCTCTGTCCTCCTACCCCCTCCCCCCCCCAGCTCACCATGGAGGAAGGGGGTGGGAGAAGCCCAGGCCGCAACAAAGAGGAGGGGAGGCCGGAGGAGCGAAACCGCGGCCTCCGCCCCGCGGCGCCCGCAGCCCCTCACCCTGAGCTCCGTCTGCGCCTGCGCGCTGGGCCGCCCACCCCAGGGAGCGCGGGGGGAAGGGGCGCCCGGAGGGAAGCCGGAGGCGGCGGGTCCGGGAGACCCCGGGCTGCGGCGGTGGGGGGGGGGGGCAGCTTTGTGAAAGGTCTCGGGCCCACTCACACTCCGTGTCGGGGATGGCTAGCCGCCCCCTCCCCCCCGCCAAAAGGAATCGTGGATCCTAGAACCCACAGCCCTCCCGCCCACGCGGAGCCAACCGCCTCCCGACCGTAGCTCCATCCATCCAGCTTCCCGGCGTCGCCAATGGCGCCGGCCTGGGGCCTCGGGCAGGCGCCGGGGCTGAGACTCACCGGTGAGCGGGCCGAGGCAAGCGTGGAGGAGCTGGAAAGGGCGCGTTGCTGCGCGCAGCTCAGGCAGCCGCCGCCGCCGCTCCTCCACCTCTCCCCGAGCGTTCTGGAAAGTTCCGCCCGGCGAGCCGCAGCCGTCGTCTTTTGTAGCCGAGCCCCGGCCGCGTCACCCGCAGGAAGTCCCGCCCCTCCCGCCGCCGCCACCGCCCCGCGGTTGCCCGGGGCAACGGCGCGGGGGCGCTCGGGCTCGGAGCGGGCTGTGCCGAACTGCCTTGTGGGGCTTGGGCTCCTAGTGCTCCTGGAACTTTCTGGAGCCCTTTCTTCCACCACCCGGTCGGTGCAAGAGGTCGTCGGGGTTGTCAAGCGGGGCACGGGGAATCCCCGGGAGCGTTGCACCTCCGGTTCCGGGGGCGGCCGCCGCCTGCGGGGACGGACCGCGCGCGGGTGCCGTGCGCAGAGCGGGTGCCTCGCAGAACAAAGCCCTGCAGCGCTTCCACCCGGCGGCGCCTCATTTGCCTCTTTAGGCGACTCCTAACCGGCTCAGGTCTTGAGTCCTGAGGTTCCAGGAACCGCTGAGGAAGATGGGCCTGGGCCCCCGAGCGGTCTCACAGGCCTCGGGTCTTGTTCCTTTTTTCACGCAGCCCCCTGACCTGATCATGCAAACCGCAGGCTTGGGGAGCGCTTTGCAAGTCCGGACTCACACGCCAGTCTTCTGCCTGGGGCCTTGCAGCCTCCTTCCTATACGTTGGGCTCAGGCCAGCGCCAAACCAGAAACGTTTGCCAAGTCTTTGGTCAAACACGGAGGGCCGTGAACTCTCCTCTGGCCGGGTGTTCACTTGGTTGGCTAGCGGGAGACGCAGAGTAGCAGCACCGAGAGTGACGGACAGATTGTTTTAGTTGATGTTCACAGTCTGTGAACCTGGATCTACAGTCCGCAGCAAAGTGAGTCTCTGGTCTTTCAAGTGTAGGGAGGGGAGGGGTCTATTGGAAAAGGGGGGGGGGGGGACATTTTTCTTACTCATTAACACAACAGACTCAGGAGTACTATTTTCTGGCTCCCAGGAAGCTGAAGTTGAAAAAAAGCCGGTTCACGTTGCTTAGATTTTAGTAGGCAGCTGTACACGCCAACGAACTGTAAGTGAACCCCAATACAGAGTTTAGCAGGGGAGGGGCCCCTGCATATTAATCCGATGGGACAGGGAAAGCTTCCCTGGGAAAGTGGTAGTGGAGCTGAGTTTTGAAGAAGGGAGAAGAGCTTTCGCAGCAAAGGACAGAGTACTTTGCTGATGTCAGTGTTATAGGAAGTGAGGAGATTGAGAATCTGTTCCTTACAAACGTGCAAAAATGGATGGATGGAAAAAGTTTGTGCTATGTAGCCAAGATCTCTCTAGGCTATCGAGGTGGAAGAATGTGATGTTTTTAGGAAATTGCAAGCAATTGGATATAACCAGACCTAAGGGATCTGAAATAGCAGGAGGTGAGGCTTCAGAGCCAAGTGGGGTGTCTCTTGCTAAACTAAGGATCTGAACTTTACCCTGGAGGCACCCCTGTGTGTATCTCTTATCTCTTTAAATGGTGTGCACCAGTTGCACCGAACTTTCTCTGTTTCCCAAATGCACTTTTTCACCTCTCTCTGTTTTACTTCGGCTGACAAACACCTAATTTTCCCAGTCTTAGATGTTATCTTCTCAAATACTACCCCTGGTATAAAGTTTGTGGTTTTTTTTTTTCTTCTGATCAGCAGTTACCGAAGGTCTAATGCTTCCTGGAAGGGAACTAGGGTTTGTTAATATAAAAATCACACAAGTCATGGTCCCTGTCCTCAAGGAGTTCACCATATAAAGAAGTTGAGGAATATACCCCAATAAGAAAGAGTATATTGAGGTGCTGAGTAGGGAAAATTTGCACCATCTACAATAAATAAATATCCCAGGTTAGAGACCAGCAGTTATGAAAGCATGAACAATTAAGAGAAAACAATAACTACACACTGTTCATGTATTACGGAAGCATTATAGTTCTAAAGTCCATACTTGGCTGTAAAACGTTTGTGAACCTAACACTGATTAAACACAATACTTCATTATAGCAAAACACCTCAAGAGTCTCCACGATAAATATTACCATGCCTCGTGTTTCTTAACTATAGCCACGATTAGTGTTTCTTTTTGCCTGAGGGACCCAATTGAAATTCCCACAGCTTTTAGAAAGATGGAAGCATGATACAAACAGGAAGATACCTTCTTGAGACCATCAGCATAAGGCCATGAAATGTGATATTGGAAATACTTTAAATTTGCAAGCTCAAGCTCCCTCCCTCCCCTCTCTCTCACACACACACTGCACACACTGACACACACTCGCGAGCACACACACACGTACACACACTCAAGACACGCACAGAGCATCCATTAAAAAAAAATTTGCAAGCTCACTAAGCTTAATTCTTTATTATGAATAAAGATAAGGGGTATACAAGTTGATTTAAAAAAAAAAGGAAAACGGTACTTATTTGCTTGTATGTGCATAAAATATTTCAGAAGGATACCCCAAAACTTGTAATATGGTTTGCCCATGGGAGAGAGCTGGGTATTGGAGAGAGGCAGATGGGAGGAAGGCATATTACCAAATAACCTTTTGTGACTTTGGAATATTTAAAATATTTGAATATAGTATTTATTGAACATTAAAAAACATAATATGTTCTGTTTGACATTTTTTTTCCTCATAGAAATTTATGTCGATGCTGAAAATATGTCCTGATGAATATTCTGGCTTAACATTTTGAAGACGCATTCTTATTTACATAAAACAGAAAAAGAGTAACAATAATTATGTGATTTTCTTTTTATATATTTTATTGATTTTTTTACAGAGAGGAAGGAAGAGAGATAGAGAGCTAGAAATGTCGATGAGAGAGAAACATCGACCAGCTGCCTCTTGTACACCCCTTACTGGGGATGTGCCCGCAACCAATGTACATGCCCTCGACCGGAATCGAACCTGGGACCTTTCAGTCCACAGACTGATGCTCTACCACTGAGCAAAACTGGTTTTGGCATGTGATTTTTTTTTTTAAAGAATTGGGATCATATACAAGCTGCTTGTTCTTTTCCCTTTTCACTTAATTTATTGTCATCTTATGTTTGGATAAATAAACCTACCCTATTTTTAATGACTTCAAAGGATGCAGGCACTATAATTTAACCTTTGCCCTATTGATGAACATTTTGGCAATTGCCAATGTTTTACAAACAGTGTTAAATATCCTGTTTTTCTTTTGTGAAATTCAAATAAAATTTGTATCCAAAAAATAATAATAATAATAATTTAATAAATATCCTGTTTCCCCAAAAATAAGACAGTGTCTCATATTAATTTTTGCTCCCAAAGATTGCTAGGTCTTATTTTCAGGGGATGTCTTATTTTTCCATGAAGAAGAATACGGTACACATTTATTGTTAAATGAAAATAAAGGAAATGTATTACTTGTATATGGTACAGTAGTATGGTAGTTGTCAACACAGACAAACTGTGAATCCTACAGTATCAAGAATTTACTCATTTATTCAATGACAATCATGTCATCATCTTCTGGAACATCATCATAACAATCCAATTCCTGAATTTCCTGGTGAATTTTTTATGACTCCATTTCTTTCAGAATCAGTGGACCAAATCTCTCATGTTTAGCCTAGGGGGGCCTTATTTTCGGGGGGGATGCCTTATATTTCACTCAGAAGGAAACCTGTAAGTAGGTCTTATTTTCGGAGGATGTCTTATTTTTGGAGAAACACAGTAATAGATATTTATTGTTGAGAAATTCTCAAATCCATCTTTGGGCATTAATGCAAGTATTTCTGTAAGATGGACTTCTAGAATTGAAATTGTTGAGCCAATGTAAATGCAGATTTTAAATTGTAATAAATACTTTTCTATAACAGTTCGTATTGCTGTCAGCAGTGTGTGAGTGGGCCTTGCCAATATGGGAGATTTTATTTTTTTTAGTCTTTGCTAACCATGGAGATTGAAAAGTGGTATCTATTGTTTTAATTTGAATTTCTTTAGTATTGTGGTTGAGCATCTTCTAAATAGTATTTATCAACTCTTCTTCTGTCAGTAGTCCTTTTTGTTATTTGATCATTTTTTCTTTAATGTAACTCCACTATTTTAGTATAAGGCGAAAGATTTATGCGATCTGAAGAGAAACTAGAGTATGTAACTCCACAATTTTAATGTGATATAACAGTACCTTTATATTGGGGATAGTGTGTGTGCATATATACACTGAGTGGCCAGATTATTATGATCTCTGAATACATAATTATCTGGCCACTCGGTGTATATTCTATATAATAAAGGGCTAATATGCAAATTGTCCCTTCGATCAGGAGTTCGACCAGCAGGCAGGCTGGCCAAACGCCCATGTCCTCTCCCCTTGGCCAGGCTGGCCGGACCCTACCCATGCATGAATTCATGCATCGGGCCTCATATATATACGACATATGAAGATTTTAATTTTTATGTAGATACATTAAAATTTTTTTTAATTAATTTATTGGTCGCCTCTTGTATGTGCTCTGACCGGGATTAAACTCACAACCTTAACATATCAGGACAATACTCTTACTAACTGAGCTACCTCGCCAGAGCTAAATTTTCTTTTAATTTATTGGTTTTTAGAGAGAGAGAGGAAGAGAAACATCTATTTGTTGTCCTACTTAGTTATGATTTGTTGGTTGATTCTTATATGTGCCCTTGATTCTTTTTTTCCCCCCCTTGATTCTTGATTGAACTCAAAATCTTGGGGTATTGGAACAGTGTTCTAACCAGCTTAGCTATCCAATCAGGGTTAGATAAATTGCGACACTTTCTTTTTGGCTGTTGCATTTCTTCTCCTTCCTTCTTTTCTCCTTCTTCTCCTTTATTTGTTATATATAGAAAGCCTTCACAAATCCATTATAAATATATCCTCCCAGGTTTTCTCTTGTACTTTTATGGTTCAATTTTTTACATTAAAATTTTAATCCACCTGAAATTTATTTTGGTGTAAGAGCTGAGGATTATTTTTAAGTAATTGAGATTTATTTTTGTCTCAATGGAGGGTTAGTTTATCTAACATTATTTTAGCACTTTATTTTTTTTCCTGACTAACGTAAAATGCCACTTTTATTGTATACTAAACTCCCATTAAAATACATTTTAATTTCTGGTAGTTTCCCTTATTGCTCCTCCTTTTTACAATTTTCCTGGCACTTTCTAGGATTTTTATTCTTCCAGGTAAATATAAGAATATTTCTGGAAGATTCCCCCCATTCCCACTATTATTTTGATTGTGATTATAGTCCTTTTGTATATCAGACAGTTTTGGGAGCATTAAAATGCTCATGGTATTAAATCTTCCTACCCATGAAAAAGGCATACTGTATAGTGTATATAATTGTATGTTCACTTTGTTGTGTTTATGCTTTTTAAAAATTTAGGTCCTGATTATTTCTTCTTAAAATGTCACTAGACATTGTCTTTTTGTTGTTTTTTACAAATGGCTTCTTTTCTTACCGTTGTGTTTTATTTCAGTGCCTGTGCTTCATGCACTCTCAGTAACCATGTGACCAGATCACAGATGGCCGTGCAGGTAGCTGGAGATGGCTGGAGGCAGGGCAGGAGCCAAGTCATTAGGGCTTATGCATTATGCTATTAGTTTGAATTTTACCTTGAAAGATACTGGAAGACTTTTAAAAATATATATATTTTATTGATTTTTTATTTTATTTTATTTTATTTTTACAGAGAGGAAGGGAGAGAGATAGAGAGCTAGAAACGTCGATGAGAGAGAAACATCGACCAGCTGCCTCCTGCACACCCCCTACCAGGGATGTGCCCGCAACCAATGTACATGCCCTTGACCGGAATCGAACCTTTCAGTCCACAGACCGATGCTC